TAGAAAGCGAAGTATTTCTCCCGCTTCTGTCGCTTCTCGCGCAAGTCTAACAATTTGAAAGTGCACAATAGATTATCAGTATCACAATTAGTTGGAGTAAAAAGACCAGTGTTATTCATTTCCCCTACGTGTCAAGTCGAAAGTCATTATGATGTCAATATGATGATATTGACGAGTAGGTAAGGAACCGCGTCAATCTACTGGACGCTATTAACTTGGGCTTTGAGAACTTGCTCAAGCAGGCCGATGTGATGCGCCGAACAATCGATACATACGTCAAACTTCGTCACCTGATTTACGTAGATTTCATTGGAGCAAAAGCGTGTGTCAAGTAATCTTTTTTAAAGATTTTGAACGATAAAATTTTAAACAATAAAAACATGGGACACCAACAAACCACCAAAATTGTTCCTTCTTTTCACCGTGAGAACCAATATGATCTGAACGGTCTAATTAGCTAACAATATTGCACTCCACGTCCGAAAAGATCAATCTTATGTTCAAAATAAATACAAATTTAAAAAAGCAATATTGCGTCTAAGAATTCAAGGTGCACAACTGCCTTCAAAACCTTTACGCGCCTTTCAAAACCAGTGAAACAACAACACATTTTCAGAATTCAAACAAGTGAAATGCAATAACTATTCAGTTATTTGAAAATAATAATAATAATACACGTGTTTAAAATCGATGAAGGCATACTACAGGATGAAGAATACTTGTTCTTTGCCTCAGTAGGTAGGTTGGTTGGTCCGGTACCGGACTACCAAGCCTTCTTTAGTCGCAGTACTTCGATAGTACAATTACGAGAGCCACCATACTCATTAATGCGGAATTGACCGACCAGAAAGTTGTATGTTAAGAGTAAAAAAGATTCGCTCGGATTGCCGACGCGTAACGTACGTCTTTTTCGCTCTTGTTACATGAACATAAAGCTGTTTCTGACAGGTTTAATGCGATTCTGTGTTGAACTACTGAGACTTGTCTTGTAGTTTTATTAGTGACAGAACCGATTACATAACTATTGAGAGGAAGTACTACATTAACCGGGACTTGAAGACAAAGAGTACAACGTTGCAGTGAATGCAGTAAAATTTAGTACCAGTAGAGCTCCTTGTGAAAGAGCTCGTCCAGGGTAGTACAGCCACCTTACCTATTTCTGCCGCCAAACAGTAATCAGCATTATTGTGTTCCGGTTTCGAATAGTAATAGTGCTGGTGAAATTACAGGCACAATAGATTTTTCAACTTATGTTACAGGAAGAAGGGCGCAGTGCTTCTATTTGCGATTTAAAAGACTGAGTGGCACTATAATTGTTATTTGTAGTTGATACTTGAGTGTCAACTAAACTAACAATGATGGAAATTGTGTCAAGACTTCTGTTACTTTTTTTAGCCTTTTGTTTTAATATGACAATAAACCGTCACTATCATTTCTATACCGATTTTTCAAACCAAATTTTCTTATACCAACAATACAAATCAAAACTGAACACAAATACCGATAAAACAGAATGATTATATATCAGCCCAACATCTACTACGAACAGTTAAAAAATAACTTAAACTTAAAATTGCTTATAAAATAATTACATTTTTCATTGCACTGTTTGGGAATGAAATGAAAAATTTAATTATTCCAGGATATTTAAGTAAGTATATTTTATACAACAAGAGACAACATGGATGGAGGTGATATCTTTACTAGACCTTTCAATCGTCTATCACTTATATTCCTTGTACTTGTTGTTGTTCAATCGTATATTCCTTGTGCTAAGTAAAATAACTAGAAAAAATTGCGCAAATAATTATATAGTTTCAAGAGAAGTTTTTTTAATTACTTTTGTACAGCATTTAGACAAAATCAACAACAAATTTACCGATAAGTACCATTTTTTTAAAATAACCATTATTTACAATTATTTAAACGCAGAAGAGAAGCAAATCGACAAAGTATTACCAATTTGGAAATAACGAAAAACCGAAACAGTCCAAATAGTCACGGTCGCCATAACCATGGCCGTCTCAAAATATGACTATTGACTTCCACTTCGGACTGGAAGAATAATAATGCGCCGAGTCAACCAACATGCCACACCAGTTAATTCTCCGAGTACCAGAGCAACGCAATTCACTCTAGGGCACTATCCAAAACGCTCAGACCTGAACCAATTTAGATAGGTTTATTTCCAAAATTTACCCTACTGGGAATCGAACCCGGGAGCTCCACACCCGGTGCCCGCAATGCAAACCGCTAGGCTATCGAGGTCGTCAGAAAAAATTACCACATAAAAGAGACAAGTATTTACTTTTATTTTATGATATCAAGTAACAGGACGAACAAGTCGTGCGCATGGTGTTAAGCGACACGCCTGTCCATAACAGGTGCAGTGCCACTCAGAGCTTTAAATCGCAATGATCTGAGGGACACTGCTACTGCGCCTGACATGAGACTAATTGACAAGTCCCATGTGCCTTGTAATTTCACTAGCACCCTGAGCCTTCAAAACCGATACACAGTAATGCTCACATTTTTGGTTAGCGGCAGAAATAAGTAAGGTTCAATTTACGACAAGAAGTTCTACTGCTACTAAAATCATATGGTGAATATAAAGGAAGAATTTGTCGAAATAGTTTACTATGCACTTCACAAAAGTTATAGCCAATAGATTATTTGTTATGTGTTTAAATTTGAAAGAAGAGTTATGTTCTCATACAAAAACAAATTGTGTTCGCTCATGTGTCTTTATAATAAACACACCAGAATATATGGTTTTCGATCTTTTATCCTGGTTTTTTCTACACTTGGTGGCGTTCTGTTCCAACAAAAATATGGCACGAATGAATTACTACCTAAAAACTAAAGTTTTATAATTGATAACTTAAAGAAAACTTGAGCTCCTTCGACGAGCACTTACTGGTTTATTACTTTAATGATACCACTGTTGTTTTGTATCCTATCTGGGGGTCGATTCAGAACCTTACAATAACTCAGTTGTCGACCGACTTCTTTTCATTTTTATTGACAACATATCAACCCGAATCGAACAACAGAACGAGATTTTGTCCTATATGTAGCTTTCATAATTTGTGACAAAAAGCGTGTGGATACATTCTCAATAGTCCGTACAAGTTGCCCCGTAATAGGATTACTGGAAAGGTTCCGACAAAAGGTCCCTTTAATTGGACTTTTATCTTTCCAAATGTAGCGTTTCCTATACTTTTCGATATTAATGGAAGATCGTGTCGATAACTTAACAAAATATAGTAAAAATATGTAATTTTATAATCTTTTTTCATTTTCCGTGATTTTTTTATTGTCTTTTAAACTTATCGAATTGTAGTTGCACTCAAGACAAATTACTGTATAATATGTGTTTTATTAAAGATTATTGAAAACGAATAGTTAGAATATTTTTACCACTCATGGAATTTTCAGTTATGTCAAACTTTGACAAAGCTACAAAACGAACGTCCAAATCTTTCCACAAGCAAAATACCATATTCGCTAGTTTTCTCTTCACGAATGTACCTACTACAAAAGCATCGTAGCACTCTTGCCTAAACCGCCACTATTAAAATGATATGAAAATACTAAGGATGAACTTATTGTTGCAAGAAGGGATACAACGAACCATTTTCTGAACCAGTTGGACAAGACTACAGACTTTCGGGGACTAATGACCAAAATATAAAATGAACAGAGTAACAAAACGAACAAATTTGCCAAATTACCAATGTCTTAATGACGTGCATATACATACATACATGATATCGTCTAAGATACCATAGAGGAAGATGGTGAAGAGATGGCAGAGTGAGCAATATGAGTGGATTGGCATCCACTCTCTCTATATATATATATATATCACTCTGCGAACTGAATTACTCATTCAGCCGTTCCGCAAATATGAAAAATACTATAGTATAAAATATACAATTCTCCAGGACGAAGTCGAAAGTGTTTTAATTTCCATTTATAACCAGAAATAAATGAGGTGAAAGGTCCCCACGTTGTGGGAAAACAATTCAAAATTGTACAATATTGCGCGTGCGTTTCGGTAGGGAATCAACATTCCGTGTGGTTTGGTAATAAATTGTAACTGCGACTGATATTACGGACCTATACGACTCATTGAGATGACAAAACATAACTTGCAGATAAAAATTGCTAGACAAACAGACCATTAGATATCTTATTATAAGGAAGAAAAACTATCATAGTTACTTATCTGTGACGATACGCATTGATTTATTTGGTAAAAACGAAAGGTCAATAACCTGTAAATTTGGGCTGGAGTTGTGAGTTTAAGATGTTGTCGTCGTTGATTTATGACTTCAAAGAAGAATAAGCAAAGAATAAAAATGGATTCCTGAGCTCGCTACGAGTACTTCAAGACACGAGACACAACTTTTTACCTCACTATAGCGAGGAAAATGGTAGATGAAAGAAAAACAGTTGAACTATGAAACATCAGTTTTTTTTATTAAAATAAAAAGTATCTTCGGATGTGTTCTGAATTTACACCTCATCAACTTTTATTCGTACTCGTACTTTTATTTTGTGTGATTAAGTGATTATTGAAATTATTTTAGTTCTTCGACGAATTAAAATAATTTAATAAACACAATTAGTTATCATTGTCAATTTATTGTCTACAATAATAAGAATAAAATATAACAACGGATTTATATTACATAAATAAATAATATACGACAAATCGCGTAGTTAAACACGCCATTATTATTTTTTTCATCGAAAGAAAAAGTTAGGTGCACCGCAGTCCATCGTCAAGTTCGAATTTCAAAAACCTTTTCCACGCTAGCGTGCATAAAACGCTTTTGCGCGCAGATTTCTAATGAGAAAGAAAATCTTTCCGAGCTATTGAGGTGAAAATATAATTGAAATCCCTTTTTCTCCCGCCGCTTAACCGAAATACAATTGCTGAATGTATGTTTAATGACAGATGAGCTTATTATGGTTACTTGTATTGTACCCACCTTTTCCACAGACACGACAAACACAAGGTTTTTCGCCAGTGTGTGATCTCCGATGGCATTGAAGGTCCGAAGATCTCGGAAATCCTGTAACGGTCATAACAATTAGTCAACTGGTATGACTAAGTAGCCGTAGCCAAATTACACCACAATTTGCGTTTATTCGAAATACATACATACACGGACGTCTCGCGGCTATGGGACATGAAGAGAAAGTACTTTAAACATTGTATATAGAATATTTTGCCTCATGGGGACATTATTTTCAAAAGTAAGTAATACTGCATTCAAAGACTTTTAAAAAGTTGCGAGCTTCATCCAGGAATCGAAAAAAAATGTATATTAATGATAACGATCGACAAGAGTACATTATAAGGATTCATTTCTTTTAAATAACAAAGCATCTTAAACTCTTTTTAGAAAAACATTCCATGAAGCAAAATATCATATTTACAATTATTTAAAATATTTTCCCTCCGTATCCCACAGCAGTGGTACACCTTGTCTAAGTATGTTATTTTAAGAGATCATAACAATAGCTCAGTAGTCAATAAAGATAAAGAAGTCCATTTAACTAACCCTTGCCGCAAAAATCACATTTATAGGGTTTTTCGCCCGTGTGCCGACGCATATGAACAATAAGGTTCGAGGAATTGGAGAAGCCGCGACCGCAGTACAAACAAAGGCAGTTATTGGGTGGTTTCTCGCGGTTTGGTTCGTGAATTTTTTTATGTGACCTGAAAATGTAAAGGTTATGATTTAGTATAATCTGATTATTTTTAAGACAGTGAATTGACGTTGGCAGGGTTGCTACTTTTCGTAGAACTTCAAATAATCGTGTATGCGACATAATCTTGAACCTGGATATAGTTTACACCTGTTAGAGCATTATATTAGGGGTTAAAGTATGAAATTGCCGTTTCGCACTGAAAAATTAAAACAATTTTTTTTAAGATTAAATATATTTGTTTAATCAAAGTTTTTTCCCTTGTTGTCTATACATTTCTGCCATGTAATCGGAAGGTCATTTAAACCTTTGCGATAGAAGTCTGGAGACCTGGACTCCACAGCTGTGTGAAGGGATTTTTGTACTGCTTCCTGGGAATTTTATTTCCATACAAAAAAAAATTCAAATTGCGGGAAAAAATAGTAGTCGGTCGGGGCGAGGTCCGACGAATATGTAGGATGATGGATAATTTATATCTGCAGGTCTTGTAGTAGTAAAACTGTTTCTCAAGCAGTGTGAGGTGTTGCGTTATCATAGAGCAATAACGGTGAAGCTGTTTTGCTGCGAGTTCCGTCGTCATTATTCAAACGCCATATGTCATATTGTGGGTATGCTAACATTAAACCATGACGTTTCGTGGTAGTTTGATACGGATCGGCTTCCATCATTACCTTCAATTCAACGTTATTTACATTTGTAACTGGTCTTCCTCGTGGTTCTTTCTTCAAGTCGTAATTTGCCGTATTGCCGGCGTTTGCCGTATTTGCGTATGCCGTATCCTCTCCAAATACAGCATTGACAGTTTCTGCTACGTTAACTCCATGTGGAAATTCGTATTCGAAAATTAGGTACTCAGATTTTCGCTGTATCCATCTTCACGTTAAAAGCTGAATGTAAAAACAATTGAAAGTCGAACAATCAAATATCATGTTTTTTAAGTTAAGCATGTTTTACTTTTCGTGTGAAAAACATTTCACTCTGAAATCGGACACCATACAGGTTTAATTTTAATTTAAAGTGGCCAGTAAAATAAATCGGCAATTTCATATTTAAACCCCTATTATTATAATAATTAAACTAGTTTGGCTATTTATTGCATAAACGAAATCAATATTCAGTCGGTAGACTCGACAGAATATTGACTGTTATTTGCTAATAAGCTGGCAACACTATTACGCAACAAACAATTTACTCTGACTTGGAAAAAAACAGAGTGTAGTGTGGTTATCGAGTTTTTAGGTTTTTCCCATCGAGTATATAACCAGAAACAGAGAGGAAATGTCATTTAATTTGTTTGAAAATTATTCTGCCATATCATTACTGTGACAACTGCGCTACAATTGGCTAGCCCGAGTTCGAAACAATTGACGGGTGTCGTCAACTGTTTCACTTCAAATCGACCAGTTAACTTGAGCTTTGCTATAATAGACGATAGTTGAAAAATTACATATTTAATATTTAATTACCGATGAAATGTGATTCCGTTTGTTTTGTAATTAGATGTTTTGCTGTTTTTCCCACACCACCGAATAGAACAACACGGCATTGTTAGACATATTATCTTTATTACAATAAACACAGATTATTTTTTGGAATATACGGAGACGTACACACAGGTCAGTAGTTGGCCTGTCTATACTTCAGTACAAACGGCAGTTGATATTTATAAGAGCTGTATCGCTAATGTGTTACCAGGAATATATATATAGCCCTTATTTCGTCTCTATTTCTGGTTATAATATACTCGATGGTTTTTCCCAACAAAGATCTTGCGCAGCGGCTCTGCCATTGCTTCTGTCACCCTGAGACATAAGTTCACAAGTCCTATGTGCCTGTAATTTCATCAGCACCCTTATCCTTGAAAACCGAAACGCAGTAATGCATTTCTGCGTACCGGTTTTACTGCTTCGCAGATATTAGCGCAGTTTACTGTGGCAGAATTGGTGATATGGCACTTCTCGCTATGCTAAAGTGGTAAAGAATGGTTCTAACCGTAAATTATCCTTCCTCGAGAATTTTCTGTGGCATACGTCGCACTCGAAACATTTTTCAATCGGCATGTGTGTTTTGGCATGTTTCGCTAGAGATTCTTTCTTCGGGAAACAACGTTGGCAAGTGTCGCATTGATATTGCTCCGAACCATCCACAGCCACCGGTGCAGGTTTTGGCTTAGGCTTCGAGTCTATGAAAGATACAGATACGCTTTGGCCCTCGTGATGTCGCAAAATGTGCTTGTTAAGAGATATCTCGTAGGCAAATTTAAGACCACAAGTGTTACAAACATGTTTCCTGTCGACCTGGCGACAGATACTTCGATGGCGAGAGGCTGATTTTGCTGAAGTGAATTCCTGCAAAAAGAAATATTATTCATAATAACGTGGCAGACAGCCACACTAATAACTTGGTCTCAAACTAGGGAATACCCAGAACATCCACACCAGACCCAATTTAAACAAAATTATTTCTCAAATGGGTTCTATCGGGAATCGAATCCAGGAGCTCCATATCGCAAAAGCTCACAAAGTAAACCGTTGGGACAAAGTCGCAAAAATAAAATACTATAAAATAAAGCAAAAATTTCCGTACATGTAAGATGTACAATATATACTGAGTGCTTTCTTTAACTGGGCCTGGAGTTGTTAAATCTGGGCAAAAACTTGCGTCATAAAAGCATTCCGCAGTTCAGCTTCGTGCAGTATGTATTGACATGAACTTAATTTCATTCCTTCATTTACGACTAGGATTAATTCAGTACATTGCATTTTCCAATTGTACGAAAAAACATTTTACTAAATTTGACAAATTTCTGCTGTCCTCATTTCTTATTCCGACACAATGAACATGATCCTTACAAGAAACTTAGCTTATCAGGCTTATCTGTTCAGGTTCAAAAAATATATGAATAACTCACGCTTGACTTTGACTATGTCGTATTTGTTTTCACATAATCTTAGTACAGAATACCAAAAAACAGACCTCAAAAATTTTATTGAAGTCGGGTACCGGAAAGTACGCGAAACCCGATTCAGTTTGCCCCCTTCTTCAAATATAAATGGGACCAATACTGAGGTACCCTTTTTTCCACAAAAAAAGAATCATGAAAATCGATTCACAAATCAGAGTTATCAGGTAACATACATACAAAAAAAATAAACCTAGTCGATTTGAGAACCTCATCCTTTATTGAAGTCGGTTAAAAAAAAGACCTAATGGTTTATAAGACTGTTAGCGTGTATTATGTATGGTTTCGGAATTCCCCATACTGTTTCAGTTAAAAAAGTCACACTGTATAATGACATTGCCAAAGTACATCAGTTAATACTTGATGGCAAAGTACTTACTTTTGTGCAAGTATTGCATCGAAGGGACCTCTCTGGATGTTCAATGTCATTATGACTAGCCAAGTCTTCTTCAGAGAGAAACAAACCCCAACATAGACTGCATACATGCAATGCATTCTCCTAAAAACAACGCAACAGTAAATTATTTTTTTAATTAACGCATTACTGATATGCGAATCATATTTCAATCTATATTCAAATGCGTTATACATACCATGTCACAATTTGGGTCCAAGAGTTCGTGGAGCAAAATCTCTGTTAATATATTCATATCTTTATTCTTCTCCTGCAAATAAGATGAATTCCATATAATTGTTATATTTTATATGTACAGTTTAAAATATTGAATAAAATTAGTTGTTTACCTCATGCTCAGTTCGAAAAAGAATCAAAAACAAAATGAAACCAAGTAAGTACCTTGTTCATACAGGAATGTTGATCAAAATTATTTTTCTTTAAGTACATTTTCTTACAAATGATACAACAAAACACTTTGGATTCTGAAACAAATTGGGAAGCAGACATTAACACGATTTTTCCACAGCATTCGTATTGTGAGGAAAACAAATCGTGAGAACATACCTTTATGTTGCATCATATGATTTGACAATCCGTCTTTGGTATTAAAATGGTCTTTGCAGAAAAGACATTCAAAAGTTTTGACTGAAATTGACTTCAACTTAAGCCCATTTTCTGATAACTTCGTTAATATAGACTGTAAAAAAAAATACTTATGGTTATTAGACTTTTGTAAATACCTTAATGGTATCACTTTACTCCCTGCTACAAATTTCCTGAGGTTACAATAGATCAATTAATGGTCACAGTAATAAAGGGCTGCATAGGTCCTGAATGAAGCCACTCTAATAATAATATTTTTTTATTAATAATTTACTTCAGCGGTTTAAGCTTGAAAACGTAAGAGTTACTTTCGCATTTATAATATTAGTTTGCGTAATACGAAGAAATTAATACTATCGTAATTAATATGGTCATGGCTGACTGAGATGGTAAAATTTTGTAACTAAAGAAAAAAATTGGGTAAAAGAATAGTTTCATTTCAAGTACATATGCTTATAAATATTGTACGTACACTAGTCATCATTTTCTTGGGTCTCCCCCTCTTTTTCGGGCCCATAAGCTCTGCATGATATTCCCACATATGTTTCGTCAAGTTGTCGGCACCGTCATAACTTGTTCCACACAACGGGCAGTACGTACTGACAGAATCTTCAAATTCAACTGCAACATACAAATTACTTCATTTCATAGCATTGTATTACACTGGTGTGGAGGCACAGCCAAGGACATCAGCAGTCAACGGCTAAATATCCTTCAAAAACAAAGTTTTTTTTTCATAATATCAAGTGACGGGACGAGCAACTCGTGTGTCTGATGGTAAGCCACACACCTATCCATAACAGTTGCGGTGCCCCGCAGAGCTTTAAGTCGCAAACAACTGAGCGGCACTGCCACTGCGCTGTCATTATTAGGGTCGTATTCCTGAACTCTATTCAATGCTCAAGTCAGGTTTTGAGTATGATTTAAAGCACTAGGAATCATACTCAAGTCCTTGCCATTAGGTTCGTATTTCCAGTGCTTGAAATCATACTCAAGTCCTGACTTGAGCATTGAATAGAATTCTGGAATACGACCCTGAGACATAGTTGACAAGTCCCATGTGGCTGTAATTTCACCAACAACCTTACCCTTCAAAACCGGCACACAGTAATGCTGACATTACTGCTTGGCGGCAGAAATAGGTAAGGTGGCAGTACGTCCACAGACGAACTCTTTCACAAGGAGCTCTACTGCTATTAAAATCTTAAAAGCCACACTCATGTTGCAATGCAAATCGAGAAGTTAGAAGTCTTACTTTAACAGGAATTTACTGTTTGTGGAAAAATACAGTACAGACCTTAATTCAAACCTAAATGTATGTAATCAGCAGCGATCGGAATTGAGGGAGTTAATTTACCTAAAGTATGAACGTTTTCTTAGTATGGACATACCCATTTCGTCATCAATGCGTATAAAACTTCTTTTTCACTTCTCATACTCTAAAAGTTCGTATTTTTGCTGGGTGTAGGCTGCATAAAATAGGATTTTATACTCTAGTGCATAAAATAGGATTTTACGCTCTAGTGCATAAAATAAAATCGTCGTTTAAAGACCGAGGCAATCACGCGTGCGCCAACAGCCACTCACACTAGAACTTTATAAAAAAAGTTTTTTTTTTAATCCGTGTTATATATCTAATTATTGTAATTTTACATTCCATTTTAATTAAATAATCGTTTATTTGTAATATTGCTGTTTAATTGGGAACGTCCACATCATTCTTTAGTTTAGCTAAACTAACTCCCTCAATTCCGGTCACTGGTTATCAATGATAAGATCATTGTGTGTTTTAATATATGTATGTCAGTTAAAGTGATATTAGTTGATAGACATAAAACCTATTGTTAAAAGTGGCTTACTGGCTTTTAATGGAAATGTCTAAAAATTAATAACAAGTTTCAATTTGAAATATTTATAGGTAACAGATTTATTGATCTACAAAGTCAAAGCCAAATCATTTATTTTTATTTCACTGCATTCTTGGAAACAGATTTCCAAATCTAAGTTACAATAAATTTAATTTATTCAATAACATCGTAAATTATATTTTATTTATCCAGTGCAATAGAAAGACATTAATTAATTGAGTAAAATGGCCTATTTGTACAATACTCTTTCACCTTTCTGTCAAATGAAATGAAATAACCACATACTTTTAGATTCTTACTGAAATTATTAAATCTTTGCTTGCTAGGTAGTTGTAATTAGAAATTAAAAAACGTAGGAGAATATTGACTGGGCCCATGTTTGGTGAATTGATCCTAAGAAATGAAATCGCGATTTTACATAATTACATAATAATAATTTCTGGTTCCTATAATCATATTCACAGTTACTTTTTACTATGCATAATACAAACACTTTATTAATTAGTGCTTACCTTTAATACACTTCTTTTTCTTAGATTCCAATTTATTAGGAGAATCTATACTGACGAAAGTACTTTTATAAGGTACTTGTGATTCACTTTCATGCTTTTCCTTTTTAACTCTCTCTGTAAATCGTAAAACGGGCTGCTTTAAATTGGTTTTCACAGACATAAAACGTCCCAGAGAAAAAAAACTGAAACTCACCTGTTTCACTACAGTCGTCCAAGTCGTTAGATAGCCCAAAGTCAGAATCCATAAAATCATCATTGTCATCTGCTGCAAATTGTTCTGTTTTAACACCCACAGAATGAGACTGTAAATTAAACCAAAAATATTAGCTATTGCAATCAAAGAATACCTTATTCATAACGAGTATAGAATCATCAGCTCATAGGACACCTGGTGGCTAACGCAGGAAGTATTTTTTCCCTATACACACATATATCTCCAAATTCATGCTTTCTACTGGCTTTCTAGATTCATGTTTTTATTTAAACATGTTTTGTAGTTAATATACTGCCTTTTTGTAATATATTTCTGAAACACATTCTAAAAATTGTACGGCAAAAAAAGAGCCATCTATTAAAAACGTCCATCTTCTTGGACATACAAAGCAAAATGTAAGTAGTGATTAGGCAGTGGTGGAGATTATCCGTTAATTCAAAACACAAGGCAATAGGTGTTGCAAGACAATAAATGTCATAAAAAGGCGATTTTTTAAACTACATACAAAAAGCAATGAAAATTTTTAAGAAATGAATAAATTATCACACAATCCCATTTACCTGAAACAATGGTACTTCAGCAATAACAAATTCCTTCTTTTCTTTCTTAAATAAACCTCTAAGTTTAGTGTCAGATTCCTGGGACTTTTCCCTGAAGTTGTATGCTTTTGTAGCCTTATCTTTACATTCATGGCATATTGTGGTAGGCAATCCATCATTTTGTTCAATCTATATTAGAGCAAAATCCATAAATTTCTTAAAATATATAAATAGTATTTTACTAATGTAATGGTTAACTGAAACCAATAACTTATATACCACGTAATGTGCTGAGCAGAAACTGGTTTAATGTTAGAAATTAATTTATATCCTGTACATGCTGTGATCCATATCTGTACAAAAATGAATGAACATATGTTTGTCCCATATACATTCATGAGTTGTTGTGCCCAGATAGTGTTGTAGTATTAAATCCCACTCCTAGGCAGTGGTATTTTCTAAGGCGAAAATTAAGGCCACAGTCCAACATGCTAGCCTATCATATAGGCTGGGATTTCTTAAGTTTTCAGTGGCAATGCACACAATGCTGGATACAGATAGTTTCTTATATATACAGATAGTTAATTAGTGAACCATAATCATTTTGCTTAAGATCAATGAATAACATCTGTCATTGGTATTGTTGGCAGGCCATTGTCATGCATTTAATTATGTAGTTACTTGTTTTAATTCACAATTTGCAATAAAATTTGTCACAATGTACAATATTTCATTCATAGATACATTCACACAATTAAAAATCAAAGTATAATATTTACACCGCTGCACAGCGTTTACTGGATTGTATAAAGAAAGATATACATCTATCATTAACTTTAACCCATGATGCGTCCTAGAGACACAGGGTGTCCCTTAAATTTTTGTACTGTAGCATTCTTAAGCCAAACAATTTCTCTAACAAGCAAGTGTATTTTTATATATATTTAATTATAAATGTTTAAATTACTTTTATCTTAATTAGGACGCATGACAAATTAAAAAATGCAGTCACTGTGCTTTGATCATATAGTTCCAGTTGTATTTCTAAATGTAAAATTTAAGTTAGCCTAGTAAATGCATATTCACAATAATGGGAAAGCTTTAAATTATAGCTTTTGGGAAACAGATGCTGTGTATATATGTGTATATTCATTCCTTTGCCAGGAAGGACATAGTAGTTATACTTTGTTTCAATCCATTTTGAACAAAAAGTAAACAAACAAGTCACTAACCTGACCATAGACGGTTTAGTGATGGCCAATTGTAACGTCAACTACAAATTGATTAATTAATTGAATGAATCAATTTGTTCAATTGAGTCATACTAGCGGTTTTCCTTACATAACCTATATAAGCATATTTAAAATTTCAATTTAAATCCTCCTTCAAATCCTTACACTTAGATACTTGTTCGGTTGCGATTGAAATGTTCGATTTAATAATCGATTACTAAACTTTAATTGACTGAACTGAATGTTTTTTTTTTCAAACAGCACTATGCAACCATAGGCAAGTCATAGAAATATAGAGGGTTTTTTTAATACAATTTTACGATGCTATTCAAATGAATATTGTTAGATAAAGTGATGATATATCAAGTCGAAATCTTCGAAATATACATGAAAGTGTTACTTGTTCGATTTATTAAGTGATTGCTTTAGAATTTTAACCAAACAGGTTTGTTTACTTTTTGTCAAAATTGATTGGAACAGACTATAGTATGAATAGCTGATTATCCATGGCGCATTGTCTTATCAGTTATTACTGAGTGCACTGTGGTGAAGGTACAACTAAATTGACAATATTCTGCGCTTTATCTGAAATGAATCAAATTCATTCTCAGGACAAATTAAAACATTCTCATTAGTTACAGATAAAACAATGCTTAATTAGAGTGTCTAGAAAATATGCAATGCTAATTCTATTTTTTAATATAAATATTAATACACAATGACATATATCATAGTACATGAACACCCCATTTACAGAACCTAATTCACAAGAAATCATAATGTAAAGGCAATATAGACCAAATAGGTAATATAGACCAAGTAAAAGGTACACAACAGTTTAAACGTCTCTCGATAGTTAGTTACGAAATATTCACCATACACAACGAACGAAACGTCCCTGTACTTAGTAAATTGTAACTTCGCTAAGCATACATGGTAGAAGATTAGACTCCACAATAGCGATCCAGTCGCTAATCGCTGATTATTTACAAAAAAAAGTTATATTTTGTTCGCGAAGACGCCAGTTAACTTAATACAATTTAAGTAATACCTTTACGCCAGTTATGGCAGCAACAACATAGTCCAATGTGATTGTGCCTATACAAACATCAAAAACTGAATGCAACTCAATTTCTTTCGACAAACATGTTCGGCACACCTCTTCTAACTTTATTTTCGTGCTTTTCAAGGATGAGGCCATGACTTTAGTTTTACTTCTGTTCCACTATCATTTCCCAATGAAAAATAAACATTTTCACTTTATATCTGTATAGCACAAATCCGTTTCTTGAAGTTTTACTGCAGAGAAAAAGTACAAATGAATGGGAAAACGAAATGAACGACATGACAGTCATAGACAAAACAAAACATAATCAAAATCCCGCAGCGGCGGCGGCGCCCCGCATTCCGAATCTGCCGCTGATACACTCTTCTATTGATAGTATGATAGGCGCCAAAGAGAAGCCTCAGCAATTTCTAGGAGACGGTCATGCCTTATGCATAAAAGCCTCTTCACGTTCGCAGTTGCTTTGTTACAATGTATATTGTTATAATGTATATTGTTGTTATTTATGTAACAATTAAGTAGGTACGTCTATAGTTCAGTTCAAGGCACAATCACGTTTTACTAGCACAAGCAGTTATATAATATTGAATTTGTGCAACGTGCGGTATCATAATTTACTTATTATAACAAAGTAAGTGCCAAGAATTAAATCTATAAGTTTGGTAATATTAGCATTAAAAAGTCTCAAAAAAATATCACCACTATTGACGAATTTATACCACGGAGGAAAAAGCATTGAAAGTGCCTAAGTCTCGATTACTATTAAAACTGCTGTCGCCTAAACTCACACAATCACATTATGTTAAACACTATGAAATCTTGATAATAATTGATCATAGTTTCTAATTTAAAAAGATAAAACAAATTCTGAACTGTTAATATAATTTAAACTTTATCCTCTTATCGTTGAAAGTCAGTACCTAGGTACCTACTATTGCCAGTTACGATATTTTGATTTTTATTGTAATTTCAAATAAAACGCTGCCATCTAGCGGTCAACAGTTAAACGTTGTTGAATTCGCGATGTTTACTTAGTTCTCCACAAAGAAACAACCATGTTGCAGCGGTATAAGGTTTACTTTTCTTTCTTATAACCATTGTCTTATAATTTTTATTTGTAAGTCAATGCTTATAACTAAAGAATTAATAAACAGAAAATTTATTAAAATTAAATAAAAAAGACTTAACAATGATATGAAACACCACCATGGATAATAGTAATATTACTTTATTACAGGTGTTGTTGGTAGGTCAACGGGTGTGACTATTATTTTTGCACTCTTAAGTAGCAAAATAATATTATTGTATATGCATCATGATAATTTGGATCAATCATAATATTGACATGTGTGATCGCTGCCAAACGCAACTGTCAACTCGACACACTGTCAAAGATTTCATTCATCATTGTGGACGCCAGGCAGAGCAGCATTGAGTATTTTGTCATAATGTTACAGTCGTGGTAGTGTGTGGAAGTCATTGATATCGTGCATTGTTATATCATGTTTAATTGTACTAGGTAAATAATTTAAAATTGATTAAAAACTGCGGTTTAGCACGATCCATGCAGAACATTCGTTTCTTCTAATTCGTACGGGAAAAGACATGTGAGTACTTATTTACTTAAAATTATACTTTTACTTATTTAAATTGATTTATTTTCCCCGTACATGTATACCTTTGTATTATCTTGTGGTATTTTCATTAGTAATTTTGTTATATCCTATTCCGAGGTAACAATGTAGTGCTACTATGCTTTTTGGGTTTTAGAATGCTGCTGAATGTTAATGTTTCTCTGCTTTTGTGGTAGTTATAGATGCGCACATTGTTTTTCTGCGAAACATCACGATCATTCCAAAACGGAATTAAGGATAATAAAGGATAAATGTAAATTGTTATTAACACTATTTTTTTCAATGTTCCAAAATATAACTGCGAATGATTAACTTTAGCTGCTCAGTGTACCTACAATTTTAAGACTACATTCTGGCTGTGCCCCCACTGTACATATTAAATAGTAAGTAGTAGGTAACTGGAAAGTTATATCCTAACTAACATTGTTACTTACTCATCTCTCAAGAACTGTAGTTTACAAAATATGTACCTCTTTACAATATAAAAAATCTTGCAATATTCAGACATGTGATTAAACACATAAATACAGTAGATGAGTGCATTGAACTTGAATGTTTTTAGTAATGAGTATTTGTTTGCACATACTTTGTGCTAGCATATAATATACATTATATATTGGACAGTTTGTTTACAGTATTGTTCACAACTATCACAACTCTGACAATCTTACTGGTATAAGTTATTCAAAACATGTACATTTTATAATAATACAATATTATATTATACCATTCATTAAATAATATAACCTGGTACAAACAGCCAGTTGTGTGCCTGCAAGATATTTTTAAAAATGTACACAAGTTTTTGTTTTTTTATGACCTTTATTTTAAATGCAATTTCTTATTTGATCCAAAAAAAATCATATGTAAAACTGTACTCCTTAAGATCTAGGGTGGAGCCAGTTTAGATTTTCCCTGGTAAAAGAATTTGGCTCATAATTTAATTAATGCCTAATGTTACTGCTGTATGGGTAACCTTGGCCCTGCCAGATGGTATAAGCCTCATTATGTAAAATTTCGTTGTCCTGTTAACCAGGTCACTGGCACTTCAGAATCACTACTTGTACAGCAGTTATTAGGTATCTGTCAGTAGCAAGTAATTACATAAATAGCCTTGTACTATTCATTTATATTCTTGAAGAATTGCATAAAACGCGGAATATTTCGTAAGTTTCTGTACTTCAAAAAGAAGAAGCGTTTTTACGTGTTTTTTAAGTGTTTCCAATTAACATGTAGGTAATCAGTTAAACTGCGAACTAATAAACATTTAAATTCTTGTCGGATTAATTGGGCTAGTAGGTTTTCATCATTCACAGCTTTCACAGAGTCCATTTTGACGTAAAACTGTATGTAGTTAGTGGAAAAATGTACTAGAATTTGATATCTTAAAGTTTCTTTAACTTCGAAATATGGTTATTAGAGATGTGATATTCATATTTGCTTATCGAATCATCTTATCGTCCGTATCTGCCGAACGATCACTAATTTTCATAATAAAATTATCTGGCGATACATGTTACGGTTTCCAATGCTGAGAAAATTAACAATCTGCTGCCGTCACCAATTCATACACGTCTTGTAATTAGTACCCACTCGTAAAATACTCGTGACTATACCGCATGGTTTTCCCACTTTCTCGGTTACCTAATTAATTTAAGTACCCTTATTATGTATTTGTTCAACTCGTCGCTAATTTTGCACTTCGTGAACATGACTCACACAATGCGTATTTTATTTTACTATTGCTTATAAATATGCAGTAGCAAGTAACCCAGAAGAGACCCGTGTGCATATAGTGAAAGCGTTATACTAAGCGAGATGCCGACGACTTTCACTAAAAAGTCCGCTACGAGAAATACAGTCTGCACCATCGATGTACTGGCACCTACTTGGAAGGTTGCAATCAGTGATATTATGTAATGTTTTCTGTATAATTCAATTTCTTATTAAATAGGTGTTATGAGTAAAATATTTCATCACGCTTTGATAATCGAATACCCGTAACAATTCATATATGTACTTAATAACTTTGTATAGTAGTTACTCAAATGTACTCCAAAATTGAAACTGTTGAAATAAGAAAATTTATATCGGGCTGTTTATACCGTGCATGACTTGTGTGTGCTCTGCATTTTTAATTACCAGTTGATAATGATGAAACATCCTTAAATTTCCGCTAACATTCTGTCGTCGTTACAAATAGTCGCTTCATACGGATATTGAGTGCATATTGCTTGTTATCTATCTAGTTAGAGATAAGATAAAAAATATCGGTTACAATTTTTTTATGTTAAGTCGATTGAGACGAAACCAGTCTTGCCGGTTTAAAAGGCAGTTATTGGATGTACATGATTTGCCTAATATAATATAATTCACGAAAGGCGATTATTATTACACATTATGATATTATTTTGGACTATGCTATGTTGACCCCGTGGAATTACATTTAATACAGCGGAAAATATCATTATAAACTGCTTGTTTTTCTCTTACAGAAGATATATTATGTTTGATAGCAACCTGCCTTCATAGGTCGAAGTCAAGGATTTCTAAATGCGTATGTACGATACAGGCCATCTACCGGTTATGCGACACTTGTGGTTGAGTGCTTATCAATTTAGTGCGACAATACACGTCCGTTTTTTCCATCCGATAGTCTGATCCGACTACCGGAAGGCGTTCGTACCATATAATTGTAGGAACACTTATATATACGACGTGGCGTCCGAGTCGGAAATAGCGACCGATTTTGTTACCGATCCGAAATCGCCGCATCGCTACTGGACATAAGTATTGTAGATTGGTTATCTACTTCATGCAAACATTACTTTTAAAAGTAAGTGATACTGCTTTCAAGATTTAAAAAATGTTGCTTGTCTCATAATGTGAATCGAATAGACCGAATGTGGACAAAAATCCTTAAATGATGCCGATCGAAAGGGTATACTATGCAATTTATTCAAATAAGAAACAAAGTTGAAACTACCAATGTATCTACGGTAGTTGTTCAAAATGTGGTCTATATTCTTGAACGCAAATTCTTGATAAATTCGTTGTCCGTAGATTTTCGTACCTTTTTACGATGAATATTCAATGGAAATAACACGCATCAATTCCGTTTTTAACTCGTCCACATTACCAAATATCTTCTTATGCTCATCCCCGGAAATCGATAAATAGACACACGCCTTGTCCCATCACTTGATATTATTTTAAAAAATGCGTTTAAATACAAGATTATTATAACTTTTATGATGCACTTATAAATAAACTGTGGAAGGAAGTGGTTCATGAGTATTACAAAGCTATAGCACATATTTTTAAAGGCGCGAATATCGACAGTAAAACATTGTAATTATTTTCCTAAACTTAAAAATAAATTTTAAAAATTTCATGGTCTTCCTTTAAATTAAGATACTTTGCCGTTTATAAGAAATTAATTCATTTATATTCAACTTTTTCGACCGATTTAAAATACATTTTCCACATTTGGTCGGTTCGATTCCTAGATGAGGCATGTAAATTTTAAAAATCTTTGAATACAGTATTACTTACTTAAAAAAAGTCGATGAAACAAAATATCCTATCTAAAGCATTTTCCCTTCGTGTCCCATAGCCGTGGGCAGAGATGGGCAGTGGATTAAAACCCAATTAACTCGCCCGGGTTTTATTTCTCATTTCTGCCCAAAAACGTTGGCGTTAACGGTAAATACGGCATTTGGAGTAATACCATACTTATTTTCCAAATTTCGATGTAAAAAATCTTTTTAAGACCAAAGAGCCACCCATAGATTTAATACCACACAACACCTACTACGCAATCCTTTAGCTTCGCACTACAAAATCGATTGTATCACATAAAATCGATATAACGATATTTTGTATCGATTCATTTCAGTGCGAAAGAAAGGCAAATCGAATCGTCTAGATCAGAAAGCAATAAACATTTTGTAATAATATCATTAAAGAACAATAGCGAAATCATTGTTAAAAATAATTCTTTAACGTCTTCAAATGTCATAATTACAAGATAGAATAATAGAAATCCTTTAGGTTTTTCAAGTATACTAAAGGCCTGTATAAGTTTGAAAATAAAGTCTTAAAATATTCTAAAAAATACTCAAATTAAATATTTTCACAAATTTTTGAAAATATCACCAGACGCATATAAATCATGAAAACAAAAATGTATAGTTCGCCATCGTTCTTTCAACAAAACTCGATTTACAACAAATATTTAGTTGTAAATAACTTTTTCGCCCTCGATTTCGGGCATCAATGGGTCGTAACCCGATTTAAAACCGTCATTAACAAAACGCCGGGTTAAAATCAGGGCACTTGCCCATTTCTGGCCCTGGGACTTCTGATATACTTGAATAGGCTGTATATGACAAGAATTGTAATATTACTTTTGGTTTCCACGCATCGCAGTGACGACAACAAAAACAGTGCATGCATGATGATTGTGTTTTCGTTTGCACGAATTGTTTTTGAGTCAAATTGCAAAATATTGACCTCATGGTTAAAGTCGTGACTACAGACAAAACTTATAAATCGTGTAGGTACACATAAAAAAAAATGCTTACATACCTACCTATACTCGTATCACACCACATATCTGCCTACGACATAAATTGATTGCAGTACATAATGAAAACGTTGCCTTCATTGCAACGATGAACATTTTTTACTCTGAAAGGCAAATAGTCGCTTCAAATGTCTCACGCCTGGCGGATGTAATCACTAAGCTGCGCTTCAAACATTATTTCATTAATACTATAATATTTATTTCAGACAACATTTAAAATCGATTTTAATATTATGTGGTAGAACTTGTCCTGGAATAATACTTAATAACTAACTATGAAATGAAGAGACCTCTGCGCGAGTTTACACATCATCGGGCAATCAGGCCTAACAGCTATCACTTTCAGGATGCTGTTACAGCTCCCGTGCATTCTGTTCAACAGCAAGACAGTTTTCTTTCACCAGACTGCGTCAATACCGTCCACGCGCGCGTCTGCGAACATGCTTGAACGAATGAACTTGCCGTGTACAATGATGTGCAAAGAGCCCTAAACAATGTTATCTTCACATTGATTTAAAAATTATTTGCTATTCCTGTTAGTAATTTTGCCACAATTTCTACTTTTGGTGCGATATTGGCATGACACAGTGCCTTCCACGCTGTAATTTAAGGGATTTATAACTCAAGTAGGTATAGGCATAACTATACGTACGCTACTTATTTAAGTGCCTACATCTATTATACACCTTGCACTTTTGCTCGTTGTTCAGCGCTTTTGTAATTTCATAAACATAAGTGTGACCGATTTGAAGACTCATGTAAGATGTCTGTCATTTAGCAGAGTAATGTCGTGCTTAGTTTGCAAGTACTATAATATCAATAGTTAAATGCACTTGCGTACGTTTTACCGACTACAAAGTTTTGCATTGCCAGGATAATGTGATGGTACCGTCGGCGTATGTAATTTACGAAATCATACTGCAGAACAAAGCGTTAATTATTACTGGGATTACGATTATCTGTTTAACGCTGCTTTGGCTGTGGTTAAAACACAAGTTTTCGTGGGGTTAGTCGCTTGATGTTATTTATATGTAGTCGACTTCTCCGAAGATTTTTATAAGCGTTACTTACTTTTATTAAAATGCTTGGAGATGTATTGATGTTAGTTATGTATCAATGTGTTGTTCAGAAGTAATGCACAACTGCATAATTCCAAGTTGCAAATTTGTATTTTCCAAGGCGTGGAGTGTTGGTGACCTGAAATACAGACCTTACTTCTTGTTTAGGCACCAGTCTCCCACAGTATAATTCTTGTTTTCATGTATTGTTCTTGTTATCCAATGTGCCGTATTTTGTGATGAGAAAATAAACAAACTTGTTATTATTATAATTAACGAATTTAAAATTAGTCATAATACTTATCGCATTTGCAGGTGAGATGGCTTTGCGACAGGAGAGCGCGACAGCGCTGGTCGCACCGTTGCTTCCGGAGTCATATAGAGAGAGCGCCCGCCCGCCAATTGCAACAGAAGTGTTCGACGATGTGAGCATTGCCGTATATTTTTACCGTATTGCCCAAAGAGATTATAATGTTTTTTGGATATGTTTATGTGTGTTGTACCTGTTGTTTGGCTTATCCTGTAGTCTAAATAGTTTCCACGAATTTTGTTCTATCCTCGTACAATATTACATGTAATCACGCTTTTCTGTACTGATCAGGCGTTCTTGTTGCTATTTTCAGGATGAGTTTGAGGATGCTACAGAAGAACTACCAGAGTAAGTGAACAAAATATTTTTTTTAATAAAAAAAACTTGCAAATATGTTACGATTAACGCCTAGCCGGATAAAATTGCTTACGTATGAACAACAACCGAAGCCAGAAAGAATGCTAACAGTTAACAAAAATTTTTTTCAGGCCCGCGAAAATCAAATATTTGCTTAAGTAATAATTACACTTTCAGGTTATAATCTCACTTCCATTATTTTATTCGTAGTAGTTTTGCATGTGGCCAATTAAACAAAGTAACAATAAACTGTGCATTTATTTATTTATTGTAAATAAATAAATGTACTTAAATATTTATTGCAAATAAATAAATGAATTTATTTACAATACATGAATAAATGCATAACCTGTGCACAACGTGTAAAGAAAACACAAAAAAATGTAAACAATAGCGATTAGTAGAACAAAAATAAAATTATTTCAATTAATATTAAATAAAGAAAACAAACATAAATTACGTCCAAATGGATTCCTTTGTATTTTTGATTTAAAAACATGAATCGTTGAACAAATCTATTGTTTGGCGAGTGGAGTAGTGCGACCGAGTGATGGGTATACGGGTGGGGACGCAGATTTTGAATGATTATAAAAGAGGATGGCAATCTATTTAACTTTCTTCAGACGGCAATCTTAACTGCCTCCATGGCCGAACGGTTACCATGGCGGACTGCCACGCAGAGGTCCCAGGTACAATTCCCGGGCCGGGGGTAATATTTGTGTGGCCTACATTTATTTCTCTCGTGAGTTTGGGTGCAATTTGTGGTTGTCTATGTGTGTGTCCATGGCACCCGCGACACAGAGTTTCTCTAGTGCGAGGCTATGATCGTTATTATTATTATTATTATTATTTCATTTCTCAGGATTTGATAAACGATGACCACGTCCAACGTACTTATGCAATATACTGTCAGTTAAACCCTCTAGTTTATCCAAATAAGCAGACATGAAGTCTGCGCAGGAACTTTGCAATATAATTCCGTTTTCGGACCGGTCCTTCCTTCGTCGGCCAGATAGTCCGGAACATTCCATCCTTGTGACAATTTATATAATATATACCATGGGAGGTCCCACTAAGCGCTTTGTTTCCTACTTAGTAATGCGTGCTGCTTGGAATCTGTGCCTCCCGAAAACTACAATTTCGAGCTACTATTCAAAGCCAGAGTGAAGTCTTATTGTTTAGACAAACTGCAACCATCTCCGGTTACATATCGCCTCTAAACAGAGGGTGAGATTGTGACAAAGCGGCGTGAGTCTATTTAACCTTAAAAAAAGTGACTGATGTAATAAAATGAGCTTTCTTGTTGTTGTATCGATGGCATACACTATAATACTTGCTATCGTGGTGAAGGGATTTGTCAATCGGCATAGCGGTTGCACACGGCGACTTATAGCAACGATGCAAACGCGATGCAGTAACAAATCGTTTACCTTTACACACACGCGCTACTGCACCGATACAAACGCGCGATTACATCGCTAGACTTGTGATTTATAAGCGTTTGTATCAATATCAATGCAATCGCGCGATTTGAATCGATGCAATCGCCATCGTAAGCGTTTCACGAACGCTAGGGTGCGCCAGATGTAGGTACTGGAAGCAAATGGTACGTTGTGTGTGGATGCACCCCGTAATGAGCTTTTATATTAATGTATTTCATTTGTATTATTTTGACTTTGTACTCAGATACGTGCCGGATCTCCAGACATCTTTCAGGGACTGCGAAATCGCGATACAAAAATTCTTCAACAATGACCTCATTGGAGCAATGAATATTATGAAACCATGGTCAGTTTCTTAATTGTCATAATTTCGTATTTACTTTATAAAAAAATAAATGTTTTTGAAACATTTCATTGTCTATGAACAATTAAAGATAAATAATAACGGAATTACATTTAAACGAAAGAAAGAAAGACGTGAATGAGGAATTAACTACATTCAAATAAATGCATAATATCTACTGCTTACCTATGAATGTTTTGTAAAATCATTTTAGTACGACATTATTTTTAGTTGTGTATTTCATATAGTCGTTGCTAATTAAAACCGACAGACGCCATCACGTCAAGCTAAACTCTTGGCGGCTCTTGTTCCGTTGCTCTGGAGGCGATATTCGAACAATGTATATCTTAATATGTTGACTGTGCCAAGTGTAAGTTCGAATAAGAATCGCAATTACATGAATTTAAATCAAGCCAGTAGTGTGATTACTATAACATTCTTGTCTCAGGGACCAGCATTCATTGTACCACAGTCTAGGAACATCAATTTTTGAATTCATTCCTGCCATGTTGACCTTCGACAATGCCCAAATCAACAGAGCCCTGGGGGCATTAAAAACGTGCATTTCAATTTGCAACCAACACCGACGAAACATGACGTTAGTGGAGAGCTTGGGCAATATTATAAAAAAGGTACACTTATGTTTTTGATTTTTATTATTATTTTTTATGGTACTCTGTGACGGGATGAACAAGTCGTTGGACGAAAGTTGCAGAGCTTTAAATCGTAAAGATCTGAGGTGCACTGCCACTGCGCCTGTCACCCTGGGACACAAGTTGCAAGTCCCATGTGCCTGTAATTTCACCAGCACACTTAGCGCCCAGTGACACAACGCGAAACTTCTTGCGCGGCCGCCGCGTGGCGACCGCCCAGTTACCACGCTTTCACGTTTACTAGGCAATAATATTTAAATTCCTTTGAATACAAATGCGCCAACCCAACGCGTAGACCAAAGACAAGCCAGTTGCGCCCGCGCGCTCGGGACGCTGATTTGAATTAAAACGTAAAAGCTAAATGAATAGAGCGTACTTTGCCATGACAATTAGACGCACGCGGTCGTTGCACGGCGGCAACGCGGTCTCCGCGCGGCTTGAGCTCGAAGAAATTCGTGTCGAATAAACGCACCATTACTCTCCAAAACCGGAACGCAGTTACGCTCAGATTACTAACTGGCGGCAGAAATAAGTAAGATGACAATACTTCCCTGGACGAACTTTATTAATTCTAAAATTTTAGATTAAATTCTAGATTTTATCATGTGTAATTTCATTGCTGTCGTACAATACACGTTGTAGCTTAATTATAAAGGTTGAAACGATGTATAATTTGTCACAAAACAGACACAACCATATCTGTAAATACCTTAATGAGCTATGTTATCCAGCTCATATAAATTGCAAAAATTTATCCCGTACACTAGTGATTTAGAAGCTATAGTGTTCGCTCTGAGCGAGTGGCGTGACCTTGTATACCTACATATATCCAAAAAAAAAACTCCTACGACTTTTAAGTATACTTACATAGTTAGTACTATGCATAAGTATTTAATTCGACCTTGAACTGATTGAATTCTTCTGCTTTTGTAGAATATTAATATTACGTCGAATAATAACACATACATGTTTACCTTTTTTACATTTTGTGTTTATATATATATATTGACGCGTGATCCATTGAATTTGCTACATAAATCGAAATACATATTTATTGCACAAATTGTCATTGTTTCAATTTGTTACAGCCTAATTACAGTACCTATTCGGACATGGAAGCACATGCAGAATTGTGTTACGCAGAAGCGCTACTGCTCCAGGCTGCTTTGACCATAATGGAGGGCGAAGACCTGACTGGTCTCATCAAAGGAACAATTAAAGTCAAGAATTGTTATAACAGTTATAAGTAAGATATTATTTCCCAATAAATTTTTGTAGATCCTTAATAATGCCTCAAAAACACGTATTAAATCGAAATTTAATATGTATAAATGCCAAAGTAACTCCGTCTGTTACGTTTTCGTGCTTGAAGCTCTGAACCAGTATTGATGAATTTTGGTTAGAGATAGATGGAGCCTAGGAGAATGATATAGCGTCGCCTTACTATCTCAAACTTGTATCTTAAAGCACATATACAAATTTTGCAGGCTAATTTCACATCAAATATCCTTCATATTTACTCACTGGCTTTGACCTATTCTTAAAGTTATGCATCCAAATTAACATGATAAGAATATAAAATAAATAGAAAGTTTTGCCATCTCCTGTAAAATATAATCACTCTTTGTAAGATACGAGTTTGAGAAAGTAAGACATCGATAGGCTACATTTTGTCACAAAAAACAATCTTAAAGAGGTGAAATAGGGGGTGAACGTTTGTATGGAGAACCAATAAAACTGTGAAAATTAGTGGTAGTATGTACCGTAGGCTACATTAAATATTTATTCTACGCTGACGAAGTTATTAATAACTTTGAAACAAAAAATGACCTCGATGTCATTTTCAATTAGTTAATGACGTCAAACATACTGCTAGTTTGCGATAACCCCGATTGTAATAATTAATAAGACGCGTTTATCTGTTTTTGTTTGTTCTCTTTATCTTTATTATGCAAAGTGTTTGCACTGCATTGTAAATAAAATATAAAAGCATAATAGGTTTATAGATAATTCGTATTAGTATTTTGATTTGGGTTACGAAAATGTCTATCTGTTTAAGGGACTGTGCAAAAATACTTGAACGAAAGCAATGGGAGAGCGAAGATTCGAAAGTGCACTTCCACAGCGGGGTTCGGCTGGGCCTCGCTACGTTCAACTTGATGATATCCCTGCTGCCTCCCAAGATTATCAGCGTACTGGAGTTTGTTGGCTTCTCTGGTAATAAGGTCAGTGCCGTTTTTATTCCGATGTGTTATGGATCTTCTCGTTACACAGCGTTACCAGCTATACAAAATATTGTTTAACAGAGTTTTGGTCTATCGGAACTGCAAGCCGGCTCCAGGTGCCCAGGTTTGCGTTCGGTGCTATGCGATCTTACGCTGCTCGGACACCACCTGGTAATTTGCCACTTCACTGGCGCTCAAGGGGATTTGGAAGTCTGTCAGGAGATTTTGAATAAGGAGCTCCAGGTTGTTATCAAATGCACTAGATTAAGTAAACTTTTTCATTCTATGCGATGGTGTTAAATTGACTGCTTTTTTGTTTTACACACGTTCTCAACGAACACAAGACTCTTTATGGCTTTGTTTGATTTTTTTATCACAAACTAAACGATTTGGCCATGTATTATTTGTATAAACATTTTGCCACCGATAGTTTTTAATTTTCTTCTCTGACTGTTGTGTTACTTAACCTGATAGTTATTTGTTCAAAAAAAAAGTTTAACATAACATGCACCAAGGCGTTACAGCAATTCAAAAAACAACAAGAACTAGAAATTAAAAAAATATATATAAAAAATAACGTCACTAATCTAAAGTTAAATTTATGACTAACAAAAGTCCATCCTGTATGTCATAACACTCTCTTCCATTCGGTCATGAGTCTCGCTATCCGTGTCACAAACAGGATATTTTTGAACTGGTATTTTGTTATGAAATCGCACACAGTTTCCCATGAAAGATGAGGCTACTTTATATAGTCTGCCAGTTTAACTTTATTTCGTAATTTGTGTTTTAGTTTTTTGTGTGTGTTTTGTTTTCAAGGAATAAATTGCTTCGATTCCTATATAACACTTTTTCCCATCTGGGTGATAGAGAACATAGTCTTCATAGTTATAGAACACATCTTTCACACACGCTCATCGGGTATTTAATGCCATTCGCTTCCTCACAGTGACATTGCCTGAGAGAGTACTTACAAATATGCGTTTACATTGCTTTAGATATACCCGGATGGAGTATGGTTCCTTGTATTCAAAGGGCGACTGGAACTACTGCAGGGCATGTTCCGACAAGCGATTGTCACCTACAACCGCGCCATTGATAGCCAGAATACGTGGCCGCAATTCCGTCATCTCTGTTATTGGGAGATCATGTGGGTGAACGGGTAAGATGTCGTCGTTACTTACATTTCTCATCGTAGGGACTTTCTTTAGCAAATCTCTGGTTTGGATGTAATACCTGATAGGTACTTTTGGTTTTCAATCCCAGATTCAAGAAACGGGAGTTAAATGTTTGAAGCCTATGACTGTATCTCTCTGTCATGACATCGTAGCTCCTAAAACAGAGTTTCCCAAAGTGGTCCCTACCGCCCTCTGTAGGCGCTGAAGAATCCTAGGGGGCGGTAGGGACCTCGGAAGCAATTGGGGGTTGATACTGTCCAGGTGGTGCTACCACATTTGAAAAAAAACCTGGATTATCATATAAAATGCACTACATATAAGTATATAACTTTTTTCTCGTGATTGTATGTGTTAAGTTAACTTTGGGAAATTGTCCTTAACGGATGATTTTTTTCATTGTTTCCTATTCCAAAATTAGTGCTTGTTTATCGTGCGTACAAAATAATTTAATAAAGTAATGATTAACTTACCTGTTGCAGCCTGATGATGCAATGGCGTGAGGCGGCAATGTACGCCAACAGGTTGATCGACGAGAGTTCCTGGTCGCGGACTGTCTACTCGTACACCATGGGCGCCATGCTGTTGCAACTCGAGGACAAGATCCTGCCCTCTGAAAGGCTTCTGTGCAACGACTTAATGAAGTAAGTTTCTTCCTCTTTTTCTCAAGTCAACCGCAGTTTTCAGCCCATTCTCATTTCTTTTAATCCTAATGGCACGAATAAACTCCAAAACTTCTATTTGCTTTTTAACCAACTTCAAAAAAGGAGGAGGTTCTCAATTCGACTGCTTTTTTGTGTATGTTACTTGATTACTCCGGCCGATTGTTGAACCGAATGTGATGATGCTTTTTGTTGGAAAGAGGGTACCTCAGTATTGGTCCCATCCAAATTTGAAGAAAATATTCCCCCTCTAAGTGTGGCAAACCAGGGGATGAATTCGGTTTCGCATACTTTCCGGTAACTGGATGTAATTCCACGAACTTTTGAGATCGGTTTTTTTTAATTATCGTCAAGCAAAATTGCCCGTGTGCCGTGTGTGCGTTCGTTCAGATCAGATGTGCGTTCAGATCGTCTGGTATTTTATTTTATATTCGAATTCCATTTGCCGCGTACATATATGCCTTTATCGCCATGGTCAATATCGATCAGATCTTCAATACAATAAACTGTTGTATTCTCAGGAAAGCATCGTACTACAAGCAGCGCATCGCGGGCAAGTCGCTGCCGATGGAAAAGTTCATGATCCGGCGGTGCGCGCGCCACAAGGCACAGGGCGGACGACTGGTCCTGCCGGCCATCGAGTTGCTCTGCCTCTGGAACATGTTCCCCATACTAGCGAAAAACGAGCGAGGCGCTCAAAGTGTACTCAAGGTATCATTATTTTTGATGTAACTTGTTGAACTGTACATTTACCATCCGAAAGACTGTAACCAACACTTTCAATGCCAGCTAAAGAAAACAAAGTAAAAAAAAAATGTGGATATTCGCACAAAGCGTTTCGCTTCCACATTCATATGGCGAACGGCACAGATGTGGAATTCTCTGCCTGCAAACTTATTCCCTGAACTGTACCTGAGACTTTTCAAGGCGAGAGTGAATAGGCACTAGTTAAGTGCGTATACTACATTGTCGACCTCATTGACGCTTTCCATCCAACATTAACTTGTAAAAAAAATCTCGCCGCGCTGTCGTAGTGAAGGCATAAAAAATTTATCGGGACTGGGAAGGTTAAGATAGTTGAAGGTGGAGGTGATGACAGTACCAATCAATAAAAACAACTTTGACTGTAGGAACTCCTTGAAAAGTATTAAAAAAAGCATAAAAACCCTGCGAAAACATATTGCAGTTGATAGAATCTGCGCGCGAGCAGATAGAAAATGTTCCGCAAGAGTGGATGGCGGGATACGAGGCAGATAACCGCGCGCTGCTGCGCTATCTGCACGGTTGCTGCCTCGCCGCCATGGGTCTACCGAGGTTGGCCCTCGACACACTCGAGTCTGTGTGCCAGTAAGTAGCTGAAATATTTTTTTTGATCTTGATTAGCTTGTTTTCTAACTATACGTCGTTTATTTAGCATAAGCAAAAGGGAATTTTAGGTTTCAGGTCAATCATTCTACCATTTTGTAAGCAAAACAATTTCATAAATACCTAAAACAAAGTTTCGGAACGTATTCACTAGATTTATGTAATGTTTGGTGAAATTCATGACACGTGTAACTATAGGTTTGTCGATATGTGTATATCGTAATTCCATATCATTCCATATAAAATTGCACCAAATCAATTTTGGAAACAAAAAATAAAAAAATTGTTATCAAACGCAATTAAATACAATTAAACGAAGTGACGTCGTTTACTTGTATATATTTGTAACAATTACTTCATTATATTCTCAATTGTAATGAAACAAACACTGTTTACAATTGTCGTCTTTATTTACAGGCTTAAAAACGACATAAAGGAGGATACATTCTTGATACCGTACAGTGTGGCGGAAATGGCCATGTGTCATTACCAGTTGGGTGACAAAGAACGAACCATCCAGATGTTGCAAGACGCTAGGTAATATTACTAACCTCGTAACGCATATTGAACCTTTGATACCAGAAGAAGAAATGTCTGTTTTGTAATTGCGTCGCTTTGAAAGTGATACTATTTCATTTCATAAGAGCCAAAGCACGTGACGTATATTATAAGCGCCGACGACGTGCAGATGACGCGCGTAAACGCGATTCAACGCGATACAGACTCGCGCGAGAAGCGCGTTCGAAGCTCGTCAGTATCGCGTTTTATTCGTTTGAATCTATTAAAACGCGCGCAAATATCGCGTTATGCAAGAAGCTTATATACTCTGCCGTCCACTAACTAAAACTCGGCTAAGAGATAAATGAGCAAATATTCGTTTTAAATTGCAAAAGATAGAGCACTAAATAATATCGGAACTTACCCTAACGATACATAGCTGAAATATCATTAAACAATTTCAATATTCTAAAACAGGGTTATGGTCTTTTACGATATCTCAAAAAAATATTTTGTCACTTAGCTGCATTTTAATTAACGGACGGCAGCACTGGAGTTTACAATTACAATTTTATGTAGTTGTTTCATTTCAAAAGCTGACGGAAATTAACAAACAAAACAAAAATTAAAACAATTTCTTATCAAAATGTGCGATACATACGCGCAACTACAGCACGTCTGCAGCGCGTATACACGCAAATAACGCGCGTTTAGATATGTTAATAACTCAATTTCGCTAAATAAAAAGTCTAATACGTTTGTTATGATAAAGAGGGCAGATATTATATTCTTGATAATATTGCTGACATTTTAATTTTTTATTAAATTGATATCAATTATTTTTTTGTGAAATTATTCCACTAGTTTGTTATAATTATTAATATAAAGATCGAACACTATTCCTTCGATCCGGTCGGATTTGAACCGACGCCTTCTAGCAAACCGTGCCATACGCTACGCCAACTAAGCCACGTAACGAAACAGCGGACCTCTTGAATTTCTCTATCTGCTTGTGGTCGTATCTTTGTACTTGGTTTTTCAACGACTTTTTAGTCGTAGCGCTATCTATGAGAAATCTATGAAAGTATTTCGTCACCCAGTTAGATACCTTTACCGCTACTGGCCCCGGTTAGAGATGTCGCTTTTCATTGTATTTAATTTTTTATTGAATTAATATTCATTTATTTTTTGTGAAATTACTCCACTAGTTGGTTATAATTATTAATACAAAGATCGAACACTTAGAAAAAATTCCTTCGATCCGGCCGGATTTGAACCGACGGCACTAGCATACCGTGCCAGACGCTACACCAACTAAACCACGGTACGAACCAGCGGATCATTACTTAAATGTTACTGAAATTTATTCAGAAAATACTAAATTTTATTGTGAACGTGACAAGCTTTTCATTGGTTAATATAATCAAAAATCAACATTGAGACAGATCATTATTTTAGAAATCCATCGATAGTTTATCAACCCTCTTTTTTTTTATTGGGATCAACTTTAAAATTTTATAAATACTGCATTCCTAATTCAGTGCTGGCACTACCTACAAGAAATACCAACACTAAATCATGAGTAGATACTGTAACGTCATTATAGGGGTTTATACAGGATGCTCCTCCAATAGGCAATAATATCAATTGGTGAAAGCACTCACAAAAATCAATTTTATTTTTAGAGAAACGTCTCATACAAGCAAATACAAGTGCCCATAACTAACTATCCATTATTATTGACACAAAGATCGTTCTAACGCGAAGAGCCATTCCTTCAATCTGGCCGGACTCGAACTAGCAACTGGTCGCCTCAACGATCAGTATATTGAATAATAATAAGATTGTATTATTGCGGTTTTTTGTAAAATAACTCCACTAGTATTGTTATGATTGTTAATACGAAGATCGAACATATACAAAAATTTCTTCGACCCCGTGGGACTCGAACGCACCACCATGCTTCACCGTAGCTTTGCTCTTACAAACTGAGCCACAGATCAAGTTACCGAGTTGTCGAAATCCTCCTATGTGTTTTTTGTTATAGATCTTTGTACTGGCTTTCGGCATTCGTCGCCGCTAGTGACATCTGGTGAGAGATTTTTTAAGGTTATGTCACAAAAAATCTCCGTAATTATTACATTCCATCATAAAGCGACATCTACGTCAGTTGAAGCACCTGTAAATTTACCGGCTGCGGTAAAAAGGTTTCAAAAATATCTCATTAGATGTCTCTAGTGGCGCTGAAAGCTGAAAAACTAGTACAATGATCTATAACTTGATCTGTGGCTCAGTTGGTAAGAGCAACTCAATTTAAAAAAAACTCTATAATAAATTATTCTCTGTTGTTGGGTCTGTGTATTTTGACAAAAAGTAGATTAATAAAAACTTTTCAAGTATTATTTTAAATTTGTTAATTTAAATTATTATAATGTGACTGTTTCGGACAATTATTAGTAATGTTAGGCAATACGAACGTGTCTTCAGAACTTCGTAATTTTGAACGTTGGTCATCTGGTCAGTCGTATTTTGAACTCCATCATAATCAGACGTCTGTACCCCACTATCGGTCATAACTACTGATTATCAATTTATAATGACAATTATAGAGATATGTCTGTACGATAGTAGGGTACAAAATGTCTATTTACTTTTCAGGATTTTGCTTCGGATGAAACAATTTTTTCAATGTATTACAGGAAAAAATTCTCCGGTTACTCCCTGGAGTCACGGCTGCATTTTCGGTTGCATTCGAAGTTGCAAATGGTTAAGGAAAACGGTGACAACAGAAAGTCCTCACAGTGATTGATGCACTACCCGGTACATCGATGTGCTACGCTGTGCTAGTGTCTGTTTGTATTGACCAACGGCACTAAAGTACCACCTACGCGACAGGCGAGGCACGTGCTGACGTAAGTCTATAGGGTCTTTGACGTAGTATGAATTAGGTTAAGATCACTTAGTCAATTTAAACAAATTTAAATATAAAAAAAATTACAAGCTGTCACGAGCCTTTGGACGCTCTCTAATAACATACTGATAAAACAGTTATTTAACCCAGCTATCATTACAAACAATAAGATTAAGATGACGTACAAATAGGATTCCATCTTTGTCATTTGAAACCAACACAGTAGAACCCAATATAAAAAGCAAAGCAGATTGATAAAAGATCTTACTTCATTTTTAGAACGTTATTTGCAATAACAAAAGTGATAGTAGTTTACAAACTAATAAAATTTCTTAAAATTAACTTGTGTATTAACCTAATTTATGTAGCAGCAATAAGCAACTTTGCGATTAGAATAAAATTGAGTAAACAACACCAAACAAATTGTAAGTTGCCTTCACATCTTAGATCTCGTTAAGTATTTCTATGCGATAGCCAGTATTGTTATGACGATAAAACGGTTTTAAATACAGGCCTACCGTCGTAGTCGTAGAGTCGGTTTCTGACGTAGCTACGCGGTCCGGGAGGAATGACAATTAACGTAACTGTTATGTCCCGGAGCATAAGGAATAATTGCAACAAGATTTTTCTGACGATTATCAATAACAATTTGAATGTAAAAAGTACGAAATGGCTTGTCTATTCATTTCAATTATCAATGAAGCAGTTTTTTTTAATATCAGTCACTTAACAACAATTTACTAATTTGGTAGGCACTTTTTCCAATCAGCTTGCTATTGAATATCGTCAGAAAAATCTTGTTACAACTGTCCCGTGCGCAGCACTGTTACGAAAATTGTGGGTCTTCCCGCACCGCGCAGCTATCTTAGGAACCGACTCAGTACGGTAGGTCTGTAATAGCGAGAACTATTTTATTTCACTTAGCCCTTTCATGCTGAGTTGTATGAATATCAAATGATTATATTACAATTAAAGCGTAGAATTAGGAAGTCACCACACTTATTATCGTCGAATCGCATTAGGCTAGTCGGAAAAGGCTTTATGTTCACGCAATTCGACACAGACGAAGAGAGCCTATCGTGACAGTGCCTGCGACAAGTCAAGGTGTCCAAACGACGGCAACAACGGCCGTACGGCGGCGTCGATTCCATGTCGAAAAGTGTGGTGACTCCCTTATCTCACGTACAGAAAAGTTGTGCGCAGGTTGAAATCATGACTAGTTTAATTATATTATTGTGTATATAAATATAAATACAAAATGTAAGTGTACAATTAAATCAAGTTTAATAAACATACAAAAGATTTATCAAAAATATGTATACAATAAAATCTTTTTCATCACACTTGCTCGTAAATAGTATGATTGCGTGGTGGCTAACTTGACTATAATGCGCCCAATAAAACCCTCGGGTCTTTTTCTTCCCATTACAGCCATTGTCGGTAAGGAGATTTTTTTTAATGTGTAGCACGACATACTTCCCTATATAGGTCAGGTTCAAGTTCAAGTAAAGAGATACTAAAGTTCAAAATTAAAACATTCGCTTAAAATGTTATCCAAACAGAAGTTTAATTGCAATTCTACCACTTATATACTTATTATTAAGAGTTTCTTAAAATCTTAAATCATTTTAATAGTTTTCTGTGTAAAAATTTAGCAAATTTTTTTTAAGATCCTTTTTGCTTTTTCTTTGATTTTAGATTTATGGAAGAACATCTTGCTGACCATCTGTTGATAAAAAAAAGACGAAAAGCCCGCCATTTGCTAAATCCATAATTGTTGTGTTAACCATATTTATAAAATATAAACATAATATATCCTGGCAAATGTGATGAAAATCATTGTGTGTATCACAGACGGTAAAAAAATAAAAAAATTCGAGTTATTCGAACCAGCCTTCGGCTTCGGGCTTCTAATAGTTTCTCGCTAGGATTTTTTTTTTGCCGTCCTTAATACACAATGTACTATTACGTTTCAAGCAATGCACCACTGAAAAAGAAAAGTTTTGACTATCGCTTTAAAATTAGAACCTGCACGCCATCTGCTTGCGATACAGAAAACGCATCATTAGTTTGATTTACGTATTTGTAAAAATGAGGAATCTCACATATCAATCCAGCGCCTGATCCAAGTCGCTATCCTTGCATTGTTAAGGTATTGTCGTACGACGCCAGCGCCCGGTAGAAGGCTTGGTGTCCTCGCAGTAAGTCGGATCATCTATATCCGTACAGGTGACGGGTTGTTAACGAGTCCGCCGATTGCTTTCGAGCAGGCAATCCAAAGACGTTAATAAATGAGTGCATTATATATTTAAAACTGAATAACAAAAAGCCTTCAAAGTAGACGCTTATAGGAGCGCTGCAGTTGCGCGGCAGCCGCGCGTTAATAAGTTTTAGTTCACTAATTGTAACTGCGACAGTGGCGCGCACGTTTCACGGCACTGGCCCTGCAACTGCGCTTCTAAATATTGTGTGAAAATTAGTAGTGTTGCGACTGCAGCACTACAGCGCTTCTATAAGCCTTTAATTAGTAGACGCCCTTAGTGAAGAGGTGTAGTCCGGTGTCGGATTGATAATTGAGCAACAAACTCATAAAGTTGGTTTTAATCATTAAGTAGTAAACACTAGTAACTGACACGTTAAACTATTAATGGAAATGAAAATTCGATAACACCTAAGTGCCTATTAAATTGTTAATCATAAAACCTTTTAGTGTAAGTGCTTTTCATACGGCAAATCAAAATATAATGTTTATGTACGTACAAATATAAAGGCAGTTTATATGGATTAGGGGTGCGTATTGGTTTACATAATTTTTTGTCTTGTTACTCGCCTTATTATGATTGATAACTGCCGTTATTTACAGAATATATATTTTTATAGTATATATATTTATAGTTATTTATAATATGTGTGTGTGTGTGTGTATATATATATATATATATATACACACGTTGCGTTACCAAAATATTGCCTACTTGAAATCACACTGGGTTTTTTTTTTGGTGGGAACGTTTACTAGTTAATGTAAAAAAGTGGGTAAAAAACTGAAGTTGCAACTAATATTCGGTTACTAGTCGGTGTTCAGCAAATTCGGCCTGTTTCTTTACTGATCGCCGCAATACCAAGAGATCACTAGTTGGCCGAATACTGAATACCTAATAACAAGTGGAAAAAAGAAAATACAGTAAATTATTATGTAACTTTTATTAATGATGAACATACTTGTAAGGTCGAGAAAATTCGTCGCTTTATGTGTAAGATCGGAAATGTAATATAATTAAGTTATTTTTCTAAGAGTTTGAAAAAGGTAACAGATGAAGTGAATTTAACTACACACTTATTATTTAGTTTAATCGTGACTAAAGAAACTGTAACAAACTCAAGTCCTTTTTATTTGATGAACAAAATTAAAATATATTTTAAAGTTAATCCAACCATAAACTTGAAAATTAAATGACCTTTTTTGTTTCACTGCACAAAATTATTTATAACTCATATCACAACTGAAGTTAATAAGTGGCATTTTTCATGCCACTTTTCGTACATGCATCAATCAGGCCGAGACCACGCTCCCTGCCAAATATACGCTATTCGGTGTGAAGCCGAATGTACCGAATGTCTTTGCAACACTAAAAAACGCCATATAAATATTAAGCAACTGTCGAAAGACTGGCTAGCTAACTACCTTAGTACAAAATTGTATTTATGTTTACAAATTATTATTTATGTATGATATTTAGATTAGGACTTAAGTAGACATTTTATGACTTACAAATAAATGGACGACGGGTCTAATACAAAAACCACGAAAAAAATGTCCCAAGTCAACCTATTCGAAATTTAAATTGTAATGTCATCGCAGTATCGCGCTGTCAGTCGAACAAATGAAGACTAAAGCGGAGTTTGGCGCTCTGTATAGGATTTAGCGCCTTACAAGTGCGGACCCGACGTCCATATAATTGTAAGTCAATGCGTTCAAAAGTATATAGGAATCTAAATTATATGCAAAAACAATAACACACCCGTGGAATAACTTTTCGGGGAAAATAAAATAAAATAACTTTAGGACTGTCAGAAAGTAGTTCCTAGTTTTCCTACACCATTGTGGATTGTACTACAGGAGCGCTACAAAAAAATTTAAAGCCGAGATTTTTTCTGCATTTATAGCCGTAGTGCGTCATTAATTTGTCCCTATGTGGACCGAATTAACTTCTGTGATTTTGCTCGAAACGCAATGAATATTTAATATCTATATATTTTTTAAAGTATAATAACATATTATTGCGAATTTCTATTTTTTCTAACAAGTCACAAATGTTCCTACTAAAACACGCAAGTCTAGAAATTGCAAATGAAATTAAATTTCAACCATACGAGTAGTAGTGCCACCCCAACGCGATCTGTGGGGTCTCGGTTTAATAACAATAAAGACACTATTCTTCTGACTTTTTTATAATACCAAGTGAGAGACTTCATAACAGTTGCAGTGCCACTCAGAGCTTTAAACCGCAATGATCTGAGGGACACTGCCACTACGCTCGTACCCTGAGACATAAGTTGATAAGTCCCATGTACCTGTAATTTCACCACTATCTCTACCTTTCAAAACCGGAACGCAGTAATGCTCACATAACTGCTTGGCGGCAGAAATAGGTAAGGTTGACAGTACTTCCCTATAGCTGTAGTAAACTCAGAATTCATGTTCAGCTGAAACGCCGATCAAGCTATATTTTTTATATGAAATTTTTTGATGGTGTTACTTATTAAATATTTTCTAGGCAAAGAGGTGTATTGTTAGTTTGAATAGGACACGTAACAGACTTCTCTAGTAAACCTGGCTAGTTCAAAATGCTTGTTTATATAATAGATATATTATAATTATATGAATATAGGTAACTGTTATTATAAAATACGTGTCGCATACTAGCTTCAACAGTGTCAAAAGTAAAAATCAGATTTTTTTGTTATGGGCCAATGCAGATGTTTTCCTGCTTTTTAGTAAAAAAGATTTGATTATGGCAACAGAGTCACTTTTTACGACTGCTCGGGAAGGTTTGCTTATTTATTTTTTTTTTTCACTTTTCTTTTGCCACATTCTCCATTCTTGAGTTGTGTAAGTGTCGAAGCCGATATGCGATTTGTATTTCATGTACTGTTAAAAATTAAACATTTTATTTTTGCGTTACTTAAAAATGTTAAT